ATCAAATCTACAAATTAATAACTTTATTAGTGTATTCTTAAATTATTAAAATTTTGAACGTATTCATGTTATGTAGCATTTTCTACATTCTGTATCATACTATTAACCCACTTTGTTCATAACTATGACAATCTCTTGTACAATAAAATTTTGTTAATTATTAAATTAATTTTGTAATGGTATTTGTTTGTAGTTCAAATAGAGGAGCAAAGAATAGTCACGAAAATGACGTAGAAATATCAACATCTAAACATAACGTTTGTCAGAAACTGCAAATATTTGCAAACGACAACGTAGAAAAATATTGGATGACCATGCTGTTCGATGTATTTGTTGTGTGGTTAACTATTGTGTGGTAGCTTACATACTCCCATTTCTATCTTGATTTTGTAAATATTCAAATATCAAGTTTTCTAATAAAAAATGAAACTTCCTGAAAGAGTTTATAAATTAATAAAGACTTGTTATTATAAATTAATAAAAATATTACGTTATAAGATACTTGTTTATATCACATTTCGAATTTTATAATCAACTTGAAGTGATAAAGTATTTTATCTATTTACAATCATCTTGAAGTGATAGAAAATTATAAAAATTTATATATTTGAAACGAACGAGAAGCGAATGATTCTAAAATATAATATAATGATTATTATTAGTATTAGAAAGATGGAAATTGAAAATTTTTGATATTATGAACTGTTTTCTTCAAATATTTATTAAATGTGCATTGAATATTTTGTTTCCCTAAAAATTGGATGATTTTTTTTTTTATAATTACATTTATAATTACGTTTATTTGCAGCGATGAATTCTTTTCATATAAAAATGTCTAAAAGTTATGATATATTTGTTACAACTTCAGTATCTTTTAAACGAATTCGTGTTAATATTGAAAAGATAATAATCACATAACTGAAAGCAGAGTTCAATTTGATTCATACAAAGATTTAGACTGGATATTCAAAGCCATAAGAATTTATCTTCTATTTATCTTTATCTATTGTTTAATTTTGGGGTTTTCTATTTAATTTAATTTTATTACAAATTTTTATCAGAAAAAAATAAAATAATAATAATAAAATAATAAAAAAGTACAAGTTTTGCAAAGTGCAATCTATATTGATTAAATAATTAATTAAAATCAATTTACTTATAGAAGATTTGACAAACACTCGTCAAATATTGCTTCACAACATTGAATTGTTCTTTCAGCCATTGAAAGTTCATCAAAATTGAATTGGTATTTATGTATGAATAGAATCTGGTCCCTAGGATACTGCACACAATGTATAATGTCACCTATAAAGTAACGCTTAATTGCAAGTTGTCTAACTCTATATCACTGATTGTGAGTAAATCGAGGTCACAGAGTTTGATATTTCAACGTGAAGACATCGTCGTTGCACGTGTCTTACCACGCCACGAAGACATTCGATTAATCAATCATGAAGATTAAGAAACTTTAGCAGCGAGAACAATTGTGGTATATTCAATAATGAATATTTGTAGTACATTCTGTATACAGTATATACATATTCATTCAGATGGAATTTATGAACAAATACGTTTAATTGGAAAAGAAATTTATTCTTAAAAATTTCTTACTTACAAAACGAATAATTTTTAAATTATTCTAGATGCAAAGCAACGACTACATGCCATTTCCTTTTATTGATAAAATAAATCTGTTTGAATTATTTTCTTAGATTAAGATTTTTAATTCTAAATATTTTAAATTCATTTCTTTAATCTTACTAAATTAGTTTCCAATTATATTTCTGTGAATTCATTTATAACTTAATAGGTGAAACATTATATTCTTTAGTTTAAACATTTAATTACCATTAAAAATTTTCGAAATAAGTCTCATATGAAAATTCGAAATTTTTATACTCTGAAAGTACATTAATATTGATTAATTAGTAATATTAATTAATTAATTAATTAATATTTTTAAAAAATTAGGTGAAATAAAAGTAAAATGACAGTAGGTTTTTGAAACGAACTGTACAGGATAAGCGGGGGAGTTTGCATCATCGAAAGCATTTGAAAGATCTATTAGGTAGTAGGTTAACCAGCAATCCAGGCCACGACAGAAAGTTGATATTACCTGTATTACTTATAATACCTGCTGGTAGTTAAGTTAACAATGCAAGTCATTACGGCCATTAAATTATGTAATTATGTACACATATACAATAGAATTGTAGCAACTACAATTATATCGCAATTCATTACTAATACTTTTTACGATTGAAAACTTTTAAAACTAAGAATTTTTAAGGCGCTAATTTCAATGCTGTCGAAAGTGCACCAATTAATTTAAAATTTGATTTTCTGAAAGGTTGAAATGTCATTAATTTATTCAGTGTCGCTTAAAGTTATCCAGAACTTCTCATCATTTGATTTCAAAAAGTGTATAGATGGTCCAAGTTCTTGTTTCTTTCTTGTATTTTTATAAAAAATTAATTAATTATCTCAGAGTACAGCTCACGAACCTATTCGAACGATTAAAGTTTAATACAATATTGAATTTCTGCAAGAAATGTAATGATTCTGTTGATGATTAGTGGCATAGTAATTGTCAGTAGCATAAAGAGACAGTAGTCATAAATACGAAAAATTATTTTTGTCATTTTTGTTAATGTCTCAAAATTATTTTTGTAAAAGTCTGTTATAAATAAATAAATTAGTTAATTATTTTCTAGCATTTTATGATATTTTCTATTTCAAATCGTCTTGAATATTCTTTTAATAAAAGTACAACAATAAAAGAAGTGATAATTTTTCAATATTTATTATTTTGTTTCGGTACATATACACAGTATAAATTATGTAGTTTAATATTATATAATTTATTTTTTATAGTATGTTATATAATTTATTTTTTATAGTATTATATATTATATAACTATATATAATTTTTATTATAATTTAATTTATTTTATAAATATCATTTCATAGAAAACTTAATGTACGATGTATTCAAGTTTGTGAAACGTCTCGTAGAGAAAACTTGGAAACGTAATTCAACTTGGAAACGAATCCACCGGGTCTACTAAATACACTTTGAAACTCCATTTTACAATTGAATTTTCTTTTTCTAAATCCTCAATTCCTGTTATTTCTTGTTTCATACTGAAAACAACTTTCGTGCGTAAAATGCTTTAAACATAGATTTATGTTTGTAATTAAATTTACATCTGTAATAAAATGTATAATTATAATAGTTGCAATCCATGTTTCGTATCTTTATACTTTGAACTATGTACTTTATACCTCTTACATTCGCTTACGTCAACCGAATGTTTATGCAAATTTATAGTTTTACAATTGTCACTGAAGAAGCTGAATATAAATAAAACTCCACTAAATTGACAATATTATAACTAACAGTATACTGTAGATATTTTAAACAGTTCTGTATAAAATATATGTAATATGTGCATTCTATGCATTTTGCAAAATTTTCAAATTTTATTTAAATGCATAAATACATTTGTAATCTATTTATTGTATTCATTGAATATTATATATATATATATATATATATATATATATATAAGTATAATATGATATAATTATATGATTATATATTATACAATATATATAATATATAATTATGTATTCAATTTCAATTTTATATATATATATATATATATATATATATATATATATATAATAAAACATATAAATAAAAAATACATCTATATAAAGTATATATATGTATAAATATGTATATATGTATATGTATATAAAGTATATATAAGTATATATATGTATGTAGTGATATAGTTCGTGATACAATTGAACAAGTAGCGATTCCTCGTAAAAAAAATAAATTAAAAATATACAGTAATGTTTATACATTAAAGATTTCATTTTTAAAAAAAAAAGGAATGAAAATTTTTTTTTATTTAATTTGAAGGTTGCATCAACATCTAATGCTGATGATAGTAGTCTCGTTCCATTTTTCACTTACAAATTAAAATATCCTTTTGTGATAAACTTGCACAGGATGAGATATTTCATAGGAAATAAATGAAAATAATAAAGAAAATTTTATTTTAATCAAATCTAACTCAAATTAGAAACCAAAGCAAGAAATTTTTTTAATACTGGCATAAGTTGCCAGCTGTTTCATGGTGGCCGGTTTGATTCTATAAAATATATAAAATATATAACATGTAGTTTTAATATTTCCAATGTAGACATACGTAAAAATATTTTGTTCTAGCAAAGTCAGGTTAAAAAATCTAACTCAACCACTCATAAATGATTAGTTTTCATTTAACATAGCATCCCAAATGATTTTGAAATAATTCACAAAAATAAATGATTCTTAACTCTCATCCATCTCTTGTGTCAATTTAACATATTTTTGCTACAAAATCTATATAAAATGTGTAAGATCATAATATAAAATTAAATCTGATTGATCTATACCTGAGAATAGATTATATGCAACTGAATAGAAATTTAGTCTACTTATTGATAATAAGAGAATTTGCAAATTTAATTTTTTATCTTTTCATTGCAGTATATTAATGATGTATAAATTACATGTATTTGTCAGAATAGTTTTCCTTTGTACATATACTGCCAAAAGTTTGGAATCATTTGCAGATTTTTATCAGAATCGAATATTCTTATACATTTCGCACTGATGCACTGCTAGTATACTAGGTATTAACAAGAATGTACAAATTTTAAGATATTTAATTGTATTGTTGCATTGAAAATACTCTTGTATGGATTATAATCCCAATTTAAAGTAACGTGAACCTCCCTACCACGTAAAATGACTATCTGTTTTCGCATTATATAGGGCTACCTGATTCTTTGTTTATCCAATGAGAGTTTAGTATCATAATATTAGACGCTGACACTGAGAAAATTGATAAAAGCCACATTTACTATACATTGTTATCATTCTTGTTCACGAAGGCACTCAACTGAGATCAGCAGTTAAAATTGTGCTCCAATGTTTGAAAATGACAAAAACGATACAGATTAGTGTCGAAACTAGAAGTGCTATTATCACACTTAGAAAAAAAGATTATTATTTGCGGGATATCGCATACAAATTGAAGATATCATATAAGGGAGTTCAGAGTACGTTAAAACGTTTTGAGAGAAAACTGTTTAAAAGACAAACTACAATCAGGAAGATCCAGGATAACGTCGAAGGCTGAAGATATTAGAATACAGATTATATGCAAACTTAACAGACGGCTAACGGCCTCACAAATTCGTGCAGATCTTAATCATAGTAGCTCGACTCCAGTACCTCTGACCACAGTGAAAAGACGACTAAGAGCTGGTGGTTTAAACGGCTACATAGCTGTTGGGAAACCATTGCTTTCATTAAAAAAATCGCAAAATGCAGTTTAATTGGGCAAAAGCCACAAAAATTGGACATTTGAGAACATTTGAGAGTCCTTTGGACTGACGAATACCAAGTTTGAAGTATTTGGGTTACACCGAAGAACATTTGTTCGTCGATCTATAGGACAAAAAAATGTTGACATGTAGCGGCCTAAAGTCCCTCGAATACGAGGTTTGAACACCGGCTTGTACAAGCCGCAAGTGGCTGTGCACCTAGCGTCGAAGTCTAGCTAGCGATATTCGATGTTAAGCAAACAGAGTGCGGAACACCGCTAGGATGGGTGCCATCCGCCTAGGCGAGTAGGTTAGAACAACAGGCATCTGGGGTTAAAGGAGTCGCTGCCATCAGCCCCCCCACTGGGATGAGTTTAGGCAGCGACTCTGAGACGAAACGTCACAATCTTTCCTCACCTTACCCACTTCCTACAAACTCATTCCTCCATCCTCGCACTAACTGTAAATATGTAAATACCATAGTCATTTACTACCTCCCTTCAGACAGAATTTATTGTATCGACTGTCAAACATGGTGGAGGCTCAGTTATAGTGTTGGGAACGTTTCTCGACCTTTGGAATTGATAAAAGTAAAGAATACACAATGAGAAAAAGAGGACTATTATAAGCAGATATTTGAGCAACATGATGCCAAAGCAGCAGATTGCCATTTAATATGCAGCAGGATAAGGACCCTGAGCATATACATCTCTAAGTTGTGTAAAGGGTTCTTGTTGCTAAAAGAAACAGAGGAGGGGGAGTTTTGAAGAACATGAGATGATCACAGATGCTTTTTCAATGAAAAGGCGATTTAAGAAAAATATCTGTTTCTTTATGAAAAAAACGAAAAGAAATGTAAAAATTGTTGTCTACTAGACGCTTTGATAAATAAAATATCCTCAGTTCCTGTAAAAATGTGTAATTTCCTTAAATATATCCAGTTTTCCTTAATACTCATAGTGATTCCAAACTTTTGGCTGGTAGTGTATATATCGATATACAAAAACAATTATGCATTTTGTATAATTTAATATAGGTATTATTTTAATAGTAACATGTATTGCTTTGACTTTAAATTAATTTTACAAGAAAATTCTAATAGAAATTTCATTTTTAAATAAAAATTTAAAATTATAAAATTTTACAGGCACTGTATACGTGCACACTCAAAATATTAAAAAAAAAAAAAAAGATGAGAATACGTAACAGCATTCACAATTTTAATAATTGAAGTTTCATAAAATTGGACATAGTCATCATTAATTGTATATGCTAATATCAATGGTTTCTTTTGTTGTTTTATTCAAAGATAATGTTACAATTTCAAAATTTTGAATATGTATTGAAGAAGAGATACAAGTGTACACATCAAAATCGTAATTATAAAATAACTGTATCTTAGAAACAATTAGAAATAGAAGTTTTCATTTCGTTTCGTCACAGTAGCTAAATTATTAAATTAATTTTTCGTGATGTAAAAATTTTTGTAAAATATTATTTTCTCTCATCTGAAGAATGTTGCTATTATTTTTCATTACATTTAGCAATTATTTATTTATGATAATAAGTTGATCATTTGAAAAGTTTCGTTTTACATTGTCCAAGTCGTATTCATGGAATTGTAACTATGTAGACGAAGTGTCTCTAATTATAATTTGAGAGTTAATTCTATTTTTAATTACAAAGTAGACAATGTTTTATTTCATAATAAACAGAAGAAAATAAACATAGACTTTTTCTTGTAATAAAATAAATTCGTTATTTTCTGTAGAATGTGTTATTTAAAAGTATTCAATTAGTTGAAAGAGATTTTATTGATTCTAACAGTCCGTGCTCGCAAAGGCAGCTTGGCACTGAGGATGTCGACGATGCAGTTGAGGAGAGGAGGAAGAAACGAGGAGAATAATTCTGGTGAACGCCCTCACTGCCTTGACCTCAACGACCTCTGCTTATACTCACGGACCTGAGACCAGATTCCTTCCGAGCTGTAGGTATCAAAAGGAAGAGAGAAAGAAAGAGAGAGAGAGAGAGATAAAGAATGAGAAAAGTGCCTCCACTTACTTTGCATAATATTCACCCGATAGATTAATTACAATTGATGTTATACTCACGTTGGTACATTTAGAATTTGAACGATATGAAGTTTTATTCGATTCGATCAAAGCAAAAATTATAATTTTATGAAGTCATTTTTTAGCTACATAAGAGAAATAAATTCATTCTTCTTAACAATCTGACTAATCTTTCTTATTTTATAAAAGTAAACTAGATTCTTATAACAAAAGTAATCTAAATTCTGCAACAAAAAAAAATGTGATTTGTATTAACACGTCGGTTTAGATGTTATGGAGTGTACATCATAAATAAAAACATAAATAGAACTTTGGTTTTATAAATAGTAACAGTCAAATAGATTCTCAGTATGTGTGATATCAATTTATGCATCTCAGGTGGTGCATATAGAGTTTAATTAGATCGTTCAATGATGCATGATGGAGTGACCACGATTAGATCACATCTCATGGGATGTCCTCTAATCCTATGAATCCATCGCATTCTATAACAAGATATTCGATTGCGTCATTATAACAATTGTATCCTTTGCTGTTGATGCAATCACATTAAATTTAATGGTTTAATTATTTTAATAAATATTGCATTAATTGGTATGCAGTATGTATCCATTTCAATTTTCATTTATAAATTATGTCATGTATCATTATTGTAATGGCAATGGCTACAGAAAATATTCCTTTTGTTCAAAAAACTTCTGACTTTTTTTTCTAATTGATTTTGTAGTCGACATATGTACATATGTATAGAAAAATTAATTTTTTAAATTAACTGTATAGACTAAATTTAATTAATACAATTTAATTTAATTAACTTATGATGATATAATTTCGTTAGGTAATGAATGATATATAATATAAACGAATATTATTTAAATATGAATAGAAAAATATTATTTAAATATGAATAGAAAAATTTAATGTGTAAAAATATAATTTATACTTGAATTCTTTTCTTGTTTAAGAATTTAAGGAATAATAAAATTGAACAATCAACTCGGTATATTTAAGATTAACGTTACTAAAATTTAAATAAAAATGTAAATGTCAAGTAGTATAATAACAAAATTTGCATTTACAAGTTTATAGATGAATGAACGACTACATAAAAGAAATGAATTGAGATAAGTAGATCAAGCTCTTTAAATGATTCATCGATATAATAATCAGTTTAAATATTTCTATTAATTAAATTAACTTTTTGAAGTATTATATACAGATGGAGAGAACTTTATAAAAGAAAGTAACGAATATTTGGAATAAATAATGGATTTAATATTTATCGTAACATTTATCATAACATTCAAAACATTAAGCATAACATAACATTCAAATTGAATTCAAGCAATCATTTATAAGCAATAATCGTTTATAATTTTTATGTTTGTTATTTGAAAAATATTTTGGGAAGAAAATTTTCGATACTATTTTGAGCTTTCAACCAATTGTCAGTTATTAATAATATTTGGTCATGTATGTTTCCTATTGATCTTGACATGTTAATTTTCTGTCAAAAATGACAGATTTATCTTTTCATTTTAACTAATTTTTTATTTAAATATACTATTTTTGAGAAAATATTTTCGCCAATTCCAATTTATGATTTCTACATATTTTCTTAAGACTTATCGTCAGTAAACAATTTTCTATTCGCTTCATATTTTATTCTCTGTTTGTTACGAATCAAAAAAATTTAATTTTTATCTAAATACTGTTAAATAGTTGTGTAAAGTACAAATTTCAAGAAGCTATAATTTTATTGTACGTTATATTAATGGAAACGTTTATCTCTTGTCTATGAGAAAACGACAAGAAAAATATATTCGGGCAACGTGATATTCCATAAACTTGAAGTTTCATCGAGTAGTGCGTGGCAAGAAGCTTCTCGCTCTGATTTTTTCAATGTTTATGAAAGGAGCCGCGCTTTATTATTCCGCGAGATGGCATTTGAATAAAAAAGAAAGCAACTAAGAGCTGGGGTGTGGAGAGAGGAGGATGGGGCCAGAAACAGAGGGGAGAAAAAAGAGTAGAAAAAAGAAAAATGTGAGGGGAGAAAGAGCTAGGGTACGTAGACATCTGTCTCAGCGGCATGTAAATTAGTTAACGAGGCCGAAGGATTCACTTCAGGATGACCGTTTCTCCGCGAACTTCTGCTTCCTTTTTGTCCATGCAACGCGCTACGCTAAAAAAAAAAAAAAAATGGAAATAAAATGAACTAGACATTAAAACAGCGATTTTTTTAGATGCAAATACGTAGTTGATTTTATTTACAAATTTATTTGTGGATTATACAAAAATACTCTATTTGATAAGAATGTTGATAAAATTCGTAGAATCGCAACAAACATGGTGACTTTTAAATAGGATTTCTAATAGTGAATTGACTAATGCGAATTTGAATTCGAACGTTCATCTATCAAATTTAATACTTCTTTTGAAATATATTATGTATTAAGTATCATATTATATATTTTATATTTTATAAATAGTGAAGTGCATAATGAAAAATTGTTGATAATTTAAACTGATATAATTTCATGGAAAAATGAATTATATAACAATCCTTGATCTCACTTTAAAGCGTGAAGCTTTTATTTCTGTAATCGTATATTCGTTTTTTTCAAAGATGATTTTACATTATGTAACTAGTGAGAAAGTGTTTGTAAAATAATAAGTGTAAAATAAAAATAAAAAATTTTTTTCCACGACATCCATTATTGTTTTGAAGATTGAAATTTTCTCTTGGAACATTAGAGTTAGACGACTAAGTTAAATGTTAAGATTTTTTGAATTTCCATCGTTTAATCCTAATATTCAACGTTCAATAAAATGACGAGAGAAGATTGCATAACAAATTTTAAGGAGTCATTTCAATCTTCAAAATAATGGTGGATTTAGTTACATAAAAATGTCTTAATGTTTCAACTCACGTTTGAACTT